ACCAAGCTGTGCTGCCAGGGACAAGGCTTGCTCCTCCTGCCCTTGGACCAGCACAGCCTCTTGTTCTCATGCCTTTGAAGAGCAATTGACCTTTGAAAAGCTGGCACAAAAATGGCACCAGACGGGGGTGGCCATGGAGACTTTCTCTCCCTGGTCCTGCAGCCTGCTCAGCCTGTGCGGAGGCCGTGCCTCTCCCTAGCCCAAGCCACAGCCCCAACTTTGCCCCTGCCCTGTCCCAAGTTTCCAGTCTGGGGAGGAAGGCAGGGGGAGGCAGGGAGCTGGGCAAGGAGAGCCCTGAAGGACAGCACAGTGCCTTGTCCAGTAACTCACAGTCAGACGAAGGAAGCCCAGCCCCGTTGTGGTGATCCTGCATGGCTCTTCGTCCTGGAGAACGCTGCACACTTCATCCAAGATTTTTTCTGAAGATTCTGGCATGGTAAGCAGCATCTTCCAGATCTTCAGGGTAGTGCTGCAAAGAAGGAGCAATGCTATGTCAGCAGGGCTGCCTCAGCCACAGTGTCGTGGCTCAGGCAGGCCCAGCAGGCCCCAGGCCGTGCTGCAGCTCTGGCCCTGCCACCCTGCATGCTTGGGGAGGCCTGGGGGCCCAACCTGGGCCAGCAGGAGAGGCTGAGGTGGCGTTCCCAAAGGGGCAGGGCAGGAGCCTGATGGGAGACTCTGGGCTGCCTTGGTGGGCGTGAGCTGCTGCAGCCCTGAGTGGCCCACTGGCACTGGAAAGCACAGTGACATGGAGCACTTGCTCCTCGGGGGTGTCCCGCAGCTTTTCTTGGCTCTGGCAGCAGGAGAGTCTCTGGGCCCTTCTCATGGAACAGACATGTGGGGCTGTCAGGGCTGATACCTGTCACTGTGTGGTAGATAGGTCAACACGCTTGTTAGCACATCCGTGGGAAACTGACGTGCCAGCACGTCAAGCACTGACAGGAAGATCGCCTGAGCTGACGCGCTGCTGCTTTTCAGCTTTCTGCGGATGAACTGCAAAATCTCTGGCACCTGTTGGGAGGACAGAAGGAGAATACTGCTGCTGCCGTACTGCAGCCATTTGCCCTGCTGCCACTGAAATTACTGCTCTTCGCAGTGCTCTGGGCTGGCTTAAAATGGCTACAGATGCCCAAGAGAATCTGAGTGCTTACTTCTGTTAGCCAGGTGCCAGGGTCTTCCAAAATCAAATCCAGTATAATCCTGGCATACTCCTTGTCCTCAGAGCTACAGTCAGCAATGGTCTTTTCAAGGGTCTTGAGGACGATGTTTGTAGTCTGAGGAGCCTCGAGGAATCTTCTAAGCAGCTATGGTAGGAAGGAAAAAAGGGAGGGAAGACAAGTCACAGAGTGTGAGAACACGGTCTGGAAGAGGAAGATCAGAGGAAAATGGCAAAAGAAGACACTTGCTTCAGGGCAAAAACATGCTGAGGGTTCCACCTGTGCCCAAGCTTGTCTATCAGGTACCCCTGAGCTGTAGAGGCAGCTCTGGGATGCAAAAAGAAGAAGAGGGAGCAGGTGGAATGTTCATGTCTCCTTACCTGCTGTCTGAAAGTGCTGGCCATGAAACCACAAAGCTTCCAGATCTGCTCCGTGGCCCTCTCACGCACAATTCTGATCCCGGAGTAGGTGAAGGACAGCAGCAACTGTGAGGAGAGGTACTGCTGGTTAGCCTGGGAGCTGCTGATGTCCACTCCAGCACAAGCAGGTCTGCCAAGGTCCTGACTGGAACCACAGCATCCATGCAGGCTTCCCCTGAGCTCAAGCCGAGCCCATCATGGGGCTACTGCCGCTGGGGTCACTTGCCAGAGGGCTCAAATTCTACTAAAGGGACCTCTGGGAGCAGAGCTCTACAATAGACAAACCTGGAAGATACTCTGCAGCTGATTATTCACAGTGGTGGTGGGATGGCTGTCTACCACGATCTGCAGCATGTTGTCCAGTGCGCTCAGGGTCTGTAAAGAGTACAGAGGGTTGTGGAAGTCTGTCAGAGGTGGCTCTCACCGCCAGGAGACTGCTGTGAATCCCTCTGGCTGCCAAGGAAGGACACCCACACATCCACACACAGGGAGACCCTGGGGCTGCAAAGCTGCTGTGCGCAGACCAGGCTGCAAGCACAGGGTGTTGCTGGGCCCAGGGCATGAAAGGTAAGGGGTGAGGGGCAGCAAGGCTGAGAGCCTGCCCCACAAGGGTCTTTCTTAACCTCTGGACACAAAGAATCCAGAGAGCAGCCCAAAGGCCTGAGGTTCAGTACTTGCACCTGGTACGTACATGATTGTATAGGCAAATGTTCAAGACCTTCGTTGGAGGAAGGTAGAAGACGACATTGCAGCACACATTTAAGAGATGTAGTATTTCGTCCTCTGAAATTGCGTTCACTTCACTGCAGATAGAGAGACCCTGATGTTAGGAGCAGTACCTCGGTGCTGAGGCAGGGGTGGAACAGGCCCTCCCCTGGGCAGGGCTCTCTGGGATGGATGGGGAGCCCCTGCCAGGAGGCACCTCCCTCTCCACGGGGCTGGCCTGGATCAGAGGACAGTCCTGATGCCACCAGCTTTGGGGCAAGAGCCAAGACCCAGCAGGGAGCTGTGTCAGGGCCACCAGGATTGTGCTCTGGGGATGTGCTGGCAAAACAAAGGGCTGGGCAGGTACCTCAAGGCAGCAATAGCATTCATGCAGTGGTATCTCAGTGCTGTGCTCAGCTGCTCCCTGGGCTCCTCGCACAATAGAACCTGCAAAGCACAACTGGGATGGCACCTGGCAGCCACCAGCACCCAGCACCAGCAAATCCTGGTAGGGCTTGAGTAGCCCCAGTGCCCTTTGACCAACACTGGCACACAGATGCTGCTGTCCACCTCCACTGCTGAGGTCTCAGCAACACCTGGAGTCCCATCAGGGGCACATCAGTGTCTGTGCATAATTTCCCTGCCTCCTTCTCCCCGTGCCCTGTCCTCCTCAGGAGTGCAAGTACCCGGGAGCTATGTCCCCTCACCTCGATGTTCTGTGGCAGATCGTTTAGGAAACAGAAGACATCCAGGCTCTCTGTCAAGCCCTTCTTTCCAGCAGTGCTGCACAGTGAGCAAATACTGTTCAGGAACTGCATCTTCTGCACCAGATCCTGGCAGGCACACAGAGACCAAGGAGTGTGAGCACGGAGAGCCACGGCCAGGGGGACCGAGCAGTGTGGGAGGCCTGCAGGACAGCAGCAGCACTGCCCAGCCAGCAGCCCTCCTGCAGCCTGAAGGCAGAGCCAGAGGGACCATCTGCAGATGCAGGCACAGCCAAGACAGAGACAGCTGCTAGTACCTTTTCCTTGCTGATGACATAGGCTTCGATGCAATCAACAGCCTCCTTTTCCACTTCATACACAGGCAGCCAGTCAGCATCTAACCAAGGAAGAGAATGAGCAGCACTGTAGAGGGGCCAAAGGCAGGTGCGAGCAGAGGAAGGAGCTCTGCCTGCTCCAGCCCTGGGCCCACTCCCCTGGCACAGTCTGCCCGTGCCTGTCAGGACAAGGGGCCCTGGTGTCGAGGCACTCGAGGGGGCACTCGCTGCCCCAGCCCTGCCCACCCTGCTGGGGAACTTCACTCACCAGCACTCAGTGGCTGCACCTCGGTCACCTCGTAGGGCTCCAGTGGAGCTCTTCTCTTCCGGGGAGCCCCACTCTCTGCCCAGGCCACCCTGGGGTATCTAGGAGGTTTCCTCTCCATCCCGTGGGATAAGCACTGAGGGTGGGGAGGGGGCAGCCGTGGGGCTGCAAAAGGTAGAGGGAAAAGACGTGGGCTATGCTCGGGGGCTCCTCGCCAGACCCGCACACTCCTGCCCTGTCACCTCGCTGTCCTGCCGGACACTGCGGGGCCACCGTGTCGGTGCCAGCTACGCCTGGATGTCACAGGGATGGGTCACAAAGGGCCCAACTGTGACCCGCTGCCCCGCCCTGGCGGGGCTGGTTCCGGGCCCTGGTTGAAATGGCGTAGACCAACCTCCTCCGCGGGCTGTGTGTGCACCTGCTTACCCAGAAAGCTTTAGAAGTGGGCCTGAGAAGGGCCTGCCCAGACTTTCGTGTTTCTGCTGTGAGGCCGGAGGTGGCCGCAGCAGGGCAGAGGAGGCAGACGAAGACTTGCTGTCAGCTCAGCAGCTGTCTTGCTCACAGGCTTGTGAGCTCCAAGGCATTTATTTCTCAATCATAAAGATGTAAATAATAAGTTTCACACAGGAGATACAGTTCCGTGCCCTTATTTCTGATTAGCTGACAATACACTGTCAAATAATTGGGAACACCACACTCCAATAAGGCATTTCCCTACACTCCATCAGATACTTTTTTTTCTTCTTTTTCTTTTGTTTTATAATCTCTGAACAATACCCATCTGGGGAACGTGATCTTTTAGAGATTTGGTCTTTTCTTGATACCATCTGGGCAGGACTTCCACCGCAATGCAATTAAGTCAGCTTTGATACTTGTCTTCACCATACCTCATACAGACATTGAAACCAAGCTGAACTGTTCACAGAATCACAGAATCGTAGGGGTTGGAAGGGTCCTCCAGAGATCA